AGGACTCCTGATTCTGCTTTTTGCTTTGTTGTCCTATAACCATTTTAGTGCCTTTAGAAATGGCCCCAAAGTCTGTGCTCTGTGACAGCGTGGACAATAGTCTCATCTTATACATGTGGCAACTTCTTCCTTACATGAAGGGGGAATCTCTGCTGGCAATCTTGTTGCCATCACTATCTTATCTGTATTTATGCCATGAGTAAAATTACCCTTTCCATGGTGTTTCTGAGGCCTTGCCCACTGCAGTGTGCTGGGGAGCTTTGAACGCTATCTTTGGGAAGGTGTAGATGCTGTGTTTAGTGTGATACAGATCCTGCAGGGTTGCTGGAGTATGCAATTAGCAAATTACTAATTAACCACAGCAATTCATCCTCCTTCTGTTGTGCAGCTTTTTTCCATAAACCTACCTGTTCTCTAAGGCAATATAAATAAAGGGCCCATCCTTTGAACAATTAACTTACAGCAAAGCAGAGAACAGCAGCCTGCCCTGCAGAGCAGCTTAAACAGCTTACGTGGAACGGCTTTGCTAATGGAGAAGGTGCCACGAGAGGTGTGTTCCACCACCCTTGGGTTCTTCAGCAGAAGGGAAGGCTGCTCATGTTAGTCTTTGGCTCACCTGAACTGGTGCATTCCTCCTGTAGCAAATACAAAGTATAAGGTGAAGGGTACGCAGCACAGGCAAGACCTAAAATGAGTGTGTATGTGTGATGGAGAGAGATAAGGTGAAGGCAGGTAAGGAGGGGTAAATTTAGGTCTGATACAGGCACGTGCAGCTCTACAAAGTTCCTCTTGGCCAGCTTGCAAAAGGTATGAACAGTTCTGAACTGTATCTGCACCCGAATTCCCATCTGAAAGAAGGTGAACAGAGGAGGGCAATGAGACAAAATTACCTGTTTCTGATTACATTTCCATCGGGGTAATTATCTTCATTGGAGATGTATCATTTTACAATGAGATTACAATCAAGCCCATCGGTTTTGAAGTTGAGCTTTAGTTTTTAAAGTCTGCGAATGTTGCAGTCACATGAGAAATAGTTCTGAAATCAATATAGAAAGCTATTAAAAGTGTGGTTTTGTCTCTGTCTGGGATGGTACATTAAGACACATGTATCGCTGTACACTCTCTTTCCCTCTCTGTATACGTATGTATGGACGGAAATTTTGATAGTACTCAACATTGGTCCAACTGTCCCCAGTGGAAAATACAACACTGACCTCAAATAGCATCACATTTTGGGTCAATGATGAGTGATTTTGAAAATGCTGCCCTTAAGTATATATTTAAAGGGGAATAACTAGAGTAAGAGTGAGTCTTTAACTTCCCTGATCCCAAAGTTGTGTTTGAGAGATGGGGATGAGAGGGAGAAGATGGCCAGGCAGAGTCACCACCTCATTCATCCCAGCCCAGACCTGCTGTGACATTCCTGCTGTGATTTCCCAGCAGGGATTTACTTCCATTTTCGGTGCCCTTCAAGAAAGCGTGAGCCTGCAATGACTGGCTTACATCTTCCTTGTTCCTGAATACATCAAGAAACAAAAAGCTGGCTGCATGAAGCTTTCGAAAGAGTAGGAGGAAAAAGCTTCTCATTTGCTAGTTGCTAAATACAACTTTTGGTAAGCACTGAAGTCAAACAAACAACTTTACAAGTGAGAAGATCCATCTGCTATCACTAATCTTATAGATTGTTCTGTTCTCTGATACTCCAGGATTTTAAGTAACATCTAATGGGCCAGAACGCACAAAGCAATCAATGTTGCTCAAGCTCTGCAGTCATCAGCTGCAGGTGTATGCTGTCCTAGCACAGTAGGCTTGGAGCCAGAGCCTCAGCTCATTTAAATCAATGTCAGCAGTTTACAACGTGCTCAGAACCTGGCCCCATATCCTTACAAGAGAAAATTCTTGGCCAGCGAATAGTCTTGGTCTGTTCTAAAAACAGATCCTTCATTGATACCATCAGGATGCAGAGCCACAAGGCAAACATCATTATGCTACTCCAGTGCTTAGACACAAGAGTGCTCGAACTCTTTAAAACCTGAGCCTGCTCTCTCTGGGGTTCATCAGAGCTCAGGAGAGTGGTGACACCACTCTGTCTAACAGAGCAAAAAGGATTTAGCAAAGAAAGTGATGCCTGTACTTCATACGTGTTCATTCTTCTCATTATACTTCGCAACACCAGTGCTCCCAGGGACCTTGGTTGGGAATCCAGGCTCTCCTGGCAGGCTGTGAGGGTTCAGAACCGTGCTGAGCCATGCGGTCCCACAGGCAGCATTGATCTTGAGTAGCACTCCCAGCAGAAGACACATACCTGGCTGTGCTGAATGCCTGGCAGCCCGTCCCTCCTGTGCGCTGGGGCAGCTGTTCCCAATCTTGGCTGCAGACTGGTGGTGGCCAGGAGAGTACGTGGTTGGCCTGAGAGCCTGACGGTCTGTCTCTGCCTCTCCCTCCCTCTCTTTCATTTTGTTGGCTCCATATATTATATCAAATAACTTTAAAGAGCACAGTTTGAATGATGGAGCTTATAATTCCATCTCGGGAGTTCTGAGGACTCGAGCTTGGTTCTTGTGGTTTATGATGTCACCGGGACCCATCGATGGAGTCATAGCCCCATAATTCACCGTTGCCCTGTTATTTATTCTGTGCAATAAATGGCTCCAGTTTAATCACCAGAGTAAATTGCTGAAGCATCTTTGTGGAAACTATAATGTGACTGTAGCAGTATCTATAGCAACAATGATTCAGTAGTGGAACCAGTAACACTTAGCCCCGTGCTCCCAACAAGAAAGCCTGAAGAGTGTATAAAAGTAGGTACTTTCTGAAGAATGGAGAAGAATCCTTGAATTCCTATATAGGTACATGCATTGGATATCCTATATAGTCTCTGTGAAATTAGGATGTGGATCCAGACTTTACCAAACTTCCCAGACTTGTGGCATTGATTGTATGCAGAGACGTTAAGGAAGACTGGCTCCTCTATAGAGATGTACAGCAAACCCATCTCTTGTGCAGAGTACTCTTTTTCCCTCCCCTTTTCCAGTTCAGGTAGAAAAAAGAACTGAGGGCTCTTGAAACAAATGGTTCTGAATTTCAGACACTTACAGCTTGTGTTTGGTTTGAAGCATGGGCAAGAGAAGCAGGAGATATCTTGGTTTATCTGAACAGCCTCGGCTCTTCTCGCCTGTTGTGTCCTTGTATCTCTCTGCTTAAAAGGCCTTGTAGGGTCTTGTATTTTAGTGCTGGTGAGACCTAATGTTTTTGAAGCTAAAAATTAAACACTTCTTTTTGGCAAAATACATTTGCCAACCTGTTTAATGTCATGCAAAGATGCCTGGTTGTTGTGGATATGCAGTTGGCATGTGAATACATAGGGCTGTCATGTAGTTATCATAGTAGAGCACTATTATACCATTATTGTCATAACATAATAAGGTTTTACTTTCCAAATCTTCCTTTTCCATTCAAGCCCCAGATTTTCTGGGTTCTCTTTTACTTTTGCCCTCCCATCTCCAAAAATAAATCTTCTAAGCACTAACTGAAACCTTTGTATTGGCTGAATGTAAGGAGAAAATAAGACACTTTTCAAACCTCTCTCCCCCTCCCTTCTCCTTTACTCCTCTTCACTTTCTATATTCAGTAATTTTCTCTTTGGGAAAGAAATCAGGAGGAAAACCCCCGTTCTCTGTTCATCCTCTTTCAATACCCTGCGAGTGCTTGAACTGCTCAGCTCTTTTTCTCTCATTTCCTCTGCTGAGCAGCCCCAGAGAAGTATTGCAGCACGTGGTGTCTGTGCCCTGACAGTCCGCTGCTTATGGTAAATGTCATTTGACAATGTAACTTCTTTTTTATTAAGTAGAGGTTTATGGTTTGCTACAAGGATCCATTGTTTTAAGCCACACAACCAACATGTGTTTCTTGAGATATCACTTACCTTTTAAGCAAGTAGCAGTTGAGTTTCGGGCATCAGATTTGGCTGTCTCTGGATTCGTACAGTTGTTCTGTTCTGGTAACCTGATACTGCATGAGGAGGTAAGAACAGAAAGAAAAGCCTTTGGATTTACGGTGGGGCTCAGTTCTAATCATGTAGTTGCTTAGTTTTTGGCTTTATCGTGAATCATTTTTAAAGACAGTTGAAGAGAGAAGAGTTGAAAGGCAAATCTTACCTTTCTCATCACTGACAGCTTTTCATAACTTAAATCAGACTTCTTTATGGCATAGCCTTGCAGTATGGCATTGTGCAATATGGACGTTATGCAAACGGAGGGCTAAACTGAAAGGCAGGAGCCGTTTTCTTCCCAGCACAAGGTGTATCTTTACAACAGCAATTTCAGAGCTGTCTTTAAACTGAGAGTGGTTCTTCAGCTTGTGGATTTGTAGACATTGTCCCTGAAGTCCTTCATAGGAAACTTGTGTTTCCTCACAGGAAGCTGGACTTTCTTAGTCACCTTTCAAAAGGCCCTTAGAATTTCTTCAGGCACATCCCTTGTGTGTGTGGGCCAAAGGGTGAAAACCTTGAAAGCTGATGCAAAAGACCTAATGGACTTTAATGTAGCCAGAACATCCCTCCTTCCTAGTGACATCTGCATGTGAGGAGAGCTCAGTCAATGGGTTTGTGGGGCTCCAGTTACCCATTTGCTTTGGGGTACATGCTGCATTCAGCAAAGACAGTTGCTGGTTTGGCATCAGCTTGCTAAGAGACCTGGTTAAAGTGGTCACCCTTCTTTAGCAGAGCCAATGGCTGTGCATTCAATGGTCAAAAAGTAGTGAATGAAGATGCTGTCGGGGATGCAGTTGTGGTGCCCAATGGAGTTAATAGAAAAGACGTTCTCGTTGCAACTGGAAAGTAACAGGATGCTAGCAGCGTCCTGCAATGCATCTACATGGCAAGTTCCCATCAGCACTAATGTGGCTTTCAAAAAGCTAATCTCGTTTCCAGGCATGGCCACACCGCCCCTTGGAGCTGCTGTTAAATTCCCTATCTTTTGTGTGCTTGGCCTGTCAAGTCTTCAAGGTGCTGGATTCTCAGTGTGCTTGTACTGGCTGTGGCAAGACCCTACTTCAGGTTGAAGGTTTTCAGTGCTCCTGTTGAAACAAAACCCATCCATTTCTTGGACCCCAGGGGAGCATTGAGATGCTCTGCATAGTGTGTGTGCCTCCCATATCACCATGGACTTGGCTTCTGCCATTCTTGTGTTTTCTCCATGACCTCCAACTCTTTCCTGTTTGGAGACATGTTTCCAACCTAGGTTGGCTGCATACTATGTTCTTTGTAACACATTTTGACAAATTCAGTTTGATTTTGCCCTGGAGGTCTTTCTAGACTTAATTTTATGATTGTGGAAGGTCATGTAAAGGGTAGTGCTATTTAAAGACCAAACTGTGTCACATTTACTCATGGGGCTGGTGCTCTTCTTCTTGAAGATGTCCACTCCTTTAAATGGAACTGCACATGGAGTAAATGGCATTCGTTGTAAACAAAGGCACTGGAGCTCACCTTACTCATCTCACTGGACTACTCAGAGAGTAAAAGTCAAGTCCTTGTCCTTTTTCAAGCCCCTGTTGTTACAAGGTGGCTTTCTGGCCCCCTCTAGTGACTGCCCATATAGAGTTTTATGAGTAAAATACAACCTTTTTGCAATCAGAAAGGGCCATTTTCACTCCAACAGCAAATGACTTGTGGCATTTCAAATACTGGCATACTGAATTTGCTCGCAGCCCTCTCATGAGCATCATGTTTCCAGCTTGGTGGGACTTCTTATGGAATTGGAAACTGTTTACAGTGGTTGAGGGGGAAACAGTCTGATACCAACGTGGTGGCATGGCCCCATTAGCCCAAAAGTTCCTGTTCATTAAGGGGAACTGGATCTTTTTGTCATTACAGCTACATTACCAATGAAACATCCATGACTTGAAGCGGATATCGAAAAGGACCAAAGTATGAATCAAAATGGATAGTCTTCTATTGAATGAATTAGTGAAACCTGGAGTGAGAATTGGAGTTCATGTTGAAAAGGCATTTTCAAAAGCCTTCCTTTTTCTTGTTCTTGTCATACTACTGGAGCTGCAGCAGGGAATCTTATTTAAAATATAAAATAGCAATTTCATCCTTCTTATGGCTCTGTGTTCTTGAGAAGCAGATACTCATCAATGCCTGTTTCCTTGAGGGAACATGAGCTTTTGGAGCTAATGAGGATCAGGACAATTATTTACTCCAAGAAGCTGGAGCAAGGTTGACAGCCTGGGGGTAGATCTCAAAGTGCCATAACACTTCAGGCTTTAGATGCTCTGAGATCCTATAGACACAACTGCCTTGATCTTTTAGTGCCCTGGTAAATCATTTATTCTGATCTCCACCTTACAAGGTCCCCCTCAGCCATCCTATCAGATGAAATGAGCTGGGTGTACAGCTCCCTGGCTTGTGTACTGCTTGGAATACAGCCCATGAACGGCAACCCAGAGCCTCAGCAGGGCTTGGTAAAGCAACTCGGTCAGGAGCAGCATCAGTCAAGGCAGAGCTGAAAGTCAAAGCTGGAGACTGGAGGGTTTGGATGGGATTTTCCCCTCTCCTGTTACTGTGCCTGGCAGGCTGCAGTCAGGATGCTGCTGAGCACACTGTGATCCCCCCTGCTCTCCCTCATCCCGCAGTGTGCCCTCTGCTCTTTGGCAGTCTGTCTCAATTCTCCTGCACCTCAGCATGACCAGGGTCCCCCGGGGTTACCCAGTGATTCATCTCTGTGGAATTTGGGAGTGCTGCTTCTCTGCTCCTACCCAGGTTGGCAAGAGGGTTATTAAAGCATCAGAGGTTAACCAGAACCTCCTTTGGTGAATATTTAGGCTAAGAGCACTTGATGCCAAACATGTTACTTTACATGTGTATTCTGACGCCACATTTTAATACTGCGCCTCGCATACCTCTGTATTCATGGTTTTGAGCACCTCTTCCAACTACGATCATATTAGAGGATCCCTGACCCTTTGGGAATGTACATGGGGAATGACTTCAAGTGGAAGTGTGTTTGGATTGTCCTATTTCTGTTTCTGAAGCCCTCTCAAGGAAGCTCGCTCTCTCTTCTCACCCCATCGCTTCCAATGGGACCAAGTCACTGCGCTCAGTGTGCGCACAGTGACACCTCAGAGAGACTTGGACTGTTCTCTTGTCTCACTTCCACTCTCTTCCAGGCTGGATGCACACCCTGGAGGTATGTGGTTTGTCTCAAGATATAAGACCTCCCCCCTCAGAAACTACATTACCTCAACAAGCCACAAAGGGCTGGCAAGAGGGAGAAGGATGCTCTTGTTAGTGCAGAGATCTTTTCTGTGATACAGCTGGAAACATACTCTCCCTCTCCTGAGCTCCCTTGTGTGCACATATACGTGTTCCCTCATGCAGCAATGTCACTGATGTGTAAGTACACAGACACATACACTTGCTTACAAATGCACAAATACTTTTCATTTGCTGTACTCATGCATACATATAGAGGCAGAAAATCTCTTGTTTGGGTGTGTGCAATCACACCCATACACACTCCAACCTGCTCTTTTATACACGCATATACTGCCCCGGTACATGTGCCCTCTCTCTTGCAAACATGCATGCATGGATACAGACACATTTACACACCCTGAAAAGAATTTGGAAGGAGAGATGAGTAAATTGGGCCTGAAGGGACCTCTTGAGGTTTAGTCCGAGGAGGTTCAACACTGAACTCAGAAGAGGGTGATGAGAGCTTCACCCAGTCAGATGTTTAAAGCCTCCTGGCTCAGAGATGTGATAGCCCAGTTTTTCTTTTCCTTATATCCAGGCAGAACCTTCACTCCTTCAGTTTCTGCCCTTTCTTTTGACCTTTAATTTATGTCTGTTACTCCCCTGCCACACACCTGAGCAAAGAGCCTGAGTCTTTCTTTTATGCCTCCAGTGTTATCAAGAAGGCTGCCATTACATGCCCCCTAAGACATGTACAAAGTAGACAAAATCCATTCCCTCAGCTCATCTTCCTAGGTTCTGTGCTTCAGCCCCTGACTGTCATGGTGGCTCTCTGTTGGATTTCAAGTTCATCAGCATCTTGTTTGTACTTGCAGGCTCACAACCAGGTCTAGACCAGATGGGGTCTAACAACTTAGGGATGATTGCCCTGTGCTCCTGTTAGCTAGGCTGCTGCCAGGTACCTAGGTCAGCTAGTTGTCCATAAGTTCTTGGCTGGGGCTGGACTGATGACAATGTAGTAAGTAAGAAAACCAAACCCTGAGCTCTTCTTCTTACCAGTCTGGGCTAAAACATAGTGGATCTGAGACTCAAGCACTTCCATGACTCTCTTCAAGAGGTCAGAAAAGCTCATCCATCTTTGGGAGAACAGGGCGGATTCAATGAGCTAGCGGATCTCTTTTATACTTCTTTGACCATCTTTGCTCTTCTTTTAGGCCTTAGAGTTCTACTGAATGTTTTTTCCTTCCCCATATTTGGAGGGATTCAGCCATTTGAAATGTCTTCCTTTTCCCAGTGGCCAGTACCCATACTGGTCACAACCATATCTGCTTTGTCCAAGTCCTGTGTTTCAGAAGGAATATGAGACAGGCATCCACTGATGATGTGCCCAAGGACAAACAATGCTCTCAGTGCTTTTATCAGCGCCAGTGCTCCTTCAGTAACATGGTCCCCAGTGGAGGTAATAGCTGAGCACTTAGAGGCTGAGCTGTGTGATTCATCCCCATCATCCACAAATCACAGGTTTAAAACCACACGGTACTTAATGTGTGAAAGAACTTCAGACTCTGCAGGGATTCCTACCTGCCTATTATCTTGCAAGGCACACACTGAAAGGAAAGGGTATCTTTTTCAGCACACTTTCAGACTTTACCTGGGAGAATCCCTGTTTGTACACTTCTCAGCTTCAAGCAAAGAGGAAACCTGAGCACAGCCCCTCAGGTGAGTGGGAAAATGGCAGAAACAACTGCAAGGTTTCATTTTAAGGAAAAAATTCTAAAGGAAACTTTGACTTTTTGCAGCCTTTTCCCATTATTTTGCATTCAAAAGCATTTGCTGAACTCTGGGATAATCCAGGTCTGGATAATACAAATATTCTGGTGACTAAAATATTAGGCTAAAAAATTCCCCCAGCATCGAATTCTGTTCTGTTTCTGATGATGTTTTAACATAACACTTGCTTTGGTGAAGTGTCCACCTGTAAGGTGGCCATTAGGTGATGTGGCTTTGTGGCTGTCACAATTGGTTCAGTTTCAAACCAGGATCTGGAGCAGAGCATAGGTTTCTCTGTGGTGTTTCTTAGAGGGATTCTTCCTCATTTAGTTCTTTACTATTTAGATGGGGATCATGGTAAAGGCTCAAGAACTCCTTTTAGTCAACTATTTCTGTGCCCGTAAGGTCAGCCTGCTTGGGAGATGCTGCCAGGTCGGATGGGGCTTGGAGTAACCTGCTCTAGTGGAAGGTGTCCCTGCCTGTGGCAGGGGGTTGGAACTGGATGAGCTTTAAGGTCCCTTCCAACCCAACCCATTCCATGATTCTGTGACTTATCCATAAACTCTCCACTGATGCTGAAGGAGCAGAAGGTTTAAGACTCTCATCTATCCCAACAAAGAATGAAGAATGGGCTTTGATTTCTTTACTCCTCACAGTGCAAGGGCCACTGGCGTGTAGGAGTACATGTGATACTGGTGGTTAACCAGAGGTTGATAGAAGGGTGACCTGTGAAAGCTTTCAGACAGGGATGTCAGACATATTTATATACATCTTTGGTTTTTAGCTACCTGTGGCTCAGTGTCAGGGAGGCTGCACTCTGGTACTAAATAGAGATTTGCTCAAGAGCAGAATTTGATGAAATGGCTTAAGACTGATAATATCTTCACTAAAAATAGCTCTTGACATCTATTCTGTGTTTCCACGTATGTTTACTTTTAAGACTTTAGTAACAGTTATTGGTGAGCTATCTCCAAACATACCCAAATGTGAACATCCATCTCTGTATGTCTTCCTGTGTGCACCCTCAGTGGGCATCTGCATGGAGACATCGTGTGCATTTGAAAAGGGATTTCTTGTTTGGTGTGTACATCCTTCCACCCAGCAAGTCCTGTGGAGATGTTCCTGCCAGGACACGCCTCTGTCATTGTCCAAACTTTGGCATGTGT